TGGACACCATTAAAGGAACTGACGGTATCGTTTCCATTTCCAATCACACTCTATATTCGCACTCCCTTGACAATGTTTCAACAGTTTCGATTCGGAAGAAGAAACTAGACCCCCAGAAGAGGAATAGTGAGTTCTGTTGGCATGATTCTCTTTTGAGAAGCGTCAAACACGATAGGCCGCTGCAAGATACATGTAACGAGCATGGAGTGGGTCTCTCCTCCACGGATTCGGAATACGTTGAAGGTGATGGAAGCATTTACATGTTCTCCATTATTTTCCTCCTCTCTTTTCATTTTTATGCGATGACATGTTACATTAGACGTTGTCTTAGGTGTGGATGCTTTAAGCGCGAGTGGCTTCACTGATCAATAGTTTCAATTTTAGAGTTTGAACTGCTCGTGATGTTGTCAGTTACTTCATACGGCTCGGAGGCACATATTTCAATTTTCGGCTAAGTAGAAACTGAACGTGCTCACATATTCTGATGAAAATAAATCTCCCTGAATAGTAGGGGCTTTGGATTCCAATGAAGTTATGCCCTTCGCGATCATCCCCGTCAGTATCTTCAGAGCAGCGCTACGATTCTGCCCCGAAGGTTTGGTCGGTGCCTCTCTAGCCTTATCTCAGTTGTATCCCCCGGCACAAATGGGACAGATTTGCTTAACGGAACGTAATTGATTCCGTCTGGATCAGTTTTCGATACCATCGCGGCATTTGACAATTCATGTAGATTTGCAATAAAATGCGTTTTAAAACGTCCTCAACGGTTCGCGTGTCCACGTCGCGAGAATGGATCCCATTGATGCGGAAGGCCATATTTTCTCAGGTCCAACCGTGTTACAAGGGATTCCGTTAGGGTGATCTAGACGAACCAACTCCCGCATGATGAGTTCGGCTCGGGTATTCCATGCTGGCTCAGTCGTCGCCCAGGATAATCAATACTGCGATGATTACTGTGCGCCCAGGGTGACGATTGATAAGTTGGGTACTGGGGCAGGACAATCCGAAGTTTCTGGGTGCATCTGACCCCCGTCATTCTACACCCAGTCCCATCGGTCGGCTTGCCACCGGGCATTGTGTACTCTCGGCACCGTGCCCCAAGGGCAGATCAAGAGCGGAATCGGACGGCAAACGACCTTGGCAACGGACTCCGAACATTGGGACATGGAACACATGCTAACACTCGGCGGTAAGAAGTCCGAACTCGTGGAAACGATTATGAGGAGACGACTGAATATAGTTGGCCTGGGCTCAACCAAAAGGAAAGGCACTGGCTCCATTACCCTAGATCACGTATGAACCCTCTACTGGAATGGAGTCGACCCAACCGTGTTTGCTCAGACCGGAGTAGGGATACTTATTAGACTCCAACCGGCCGAAAGCGTCATTAAATGGAACTCCGTCAGTAAGCGTGTCAATTTGATCCGCCTCAGACTGGAGTTTTGGCCGCCGTTCAGGTATATGGGCAGAAAAGCCAGTCATATTACGATGCGTTTTTGGAGGATGCGGATGGAACCTTAGAAATGACTCCGAACGTCGACCGTTATATTTTTTTTTCCCGAGTCATATACGTATCATGTACCTATTCATGTGGCATGAAATTATAATCACAACGGTTATGGACGATAACACTGTTTTTATTGCTCCTTTATCGGGGTTCAGGTACTGCCTCAGTAATCAGGGTAATCAGGGTACTCTAGGTCGCTTGAGCAATAATTATTGATAGGAACAGTGTAAATAACAGCAGCACGGGCCCTGATATATATGCCACGCTCTTGTTTTCACGACGCCACCACAGGGATCGAACACGGTTTTACGGGACACAAAGACATACCTGTTTCCAGGTGTTCTCTTGAGGATTTTTCCACTTCAGAGGGTTGTTTTTGGTTTCCTTGTCAGGAGTTTATGAATGCTAATCAGTGCACATAGGATTCTTTGCATATATAGTTCTGACAATGATCTAGATACTCCGTGGCTACCTTAGACTCATCAGCGCCGCGATGACGGATTTCATCTAGCAAACATTACAACATTTGAATGAATTCCCGGACAGCCTCACGTTATCTTGATGCTATCGATAGTACAGAATTCATCAAACGTGGACGATCCCTGCCGTGGCTCAACCGATCTTTAAACCCCAGTATGAAGCGTTCACAATAGCCGATCGCAACGAGTTCTGTATGAATTCTCCATTACGTCGAAGCCGTGGTATGCATACTTATGTTTGGCAGCGAGTTGGAACAACTCGGTATCAGAAGTAATTTTCATGTTTCTTATAGAGACAAGAGATTCCAAGAAATACGCTTTCGCCTCCTTTTTTCGTCAACATGGAAAATGAGGAATAGATCACATACAAGAGTAAGGCATTTACTTCACGTGCCAATGGAGATAAGAAAAAAGCCGAAGTCCCAAATTGATTAAATTTATTCACATCAGCTTCCTCAGCAAAAGCACATGTTTGAGTATATTGGAGGACAGGGAGGGCATTTCATATCCGCAATAATTTGACGTGACTGAGAATACTAGGAACTTTAAAGTAATACGATGATTCCTGCTTTGGCTCCAAAATCCTGTACTTCGGCGAAGAAATAACTGATTTTTGGTTAGATGTACCTGAGACAGAGACTGTCCAAATTGCTGCTCCTTTTTTATAGGGCAGAATTAATAGAAATCTAGGTTGCCAAATCTAGGTTGCAATCTTATGTGAACAAGGCTCGAAACTTCAAGAAGTGGCCCACTCCTTCTTGGACCTTGTGGCCAATCTTTTTGGACCCTGCGACATTTTCCTGGATCTTGCGGCCTTCCCCTGGATATTGAGGTCACTTGCCAGACTTCTGGATATTGAGCATTTGGATCTTCACTTAGATCTTAGTTCGAAATGTATTTGTTCATTGTAATTTACGCTATAGTGAATCTAATGATTAATTGTCTTGTGAGTGCAGAACTCCTGGGACCCATTAAACTTAGGGCTCCCATTATGCACCCAAATCCCACGAATTACCTTTCCATCACACGATGCGACTTCATTGCCCATCAGCCTCATTTCATTGGTTCCTCTTCAACACGCAATGGGCATTTTTGGACTTTGAAGCGATGACATGAACACCACCTTTCCCTCTTTGCCTGGTAGTATGCCCTGTAATGTTTTATTTCTCGATTTACTGCGTCATATACTCCGCATATGCCTGTCTTCTTCGTGCATGAAATAATAATGGCAACGATTATGGACGATAAAATCGCTTTTTCTACTCCTTGGGTCAGGGTTCTTTCGCCGGCTATGTAATCAGGATAATATGGGTCGCTTGTGTACCAATTATTCATAGGAATAGAGCAAATAACTGCATTATGGGCCTCGATATATATATGTCACGCTCGTGTATTCACGAAGCCACCACATACGATCGAACACGGATTTATAGGGCACAAGGACACAGCTGTTTCCACGTGTCCTCTTGAAGATTTTGAAGCTTCCAAGCAATGGTGTCGGGTTCTTCGCCAGGGGTTACTGAATGCTAACCGGTGCATGAAGGAGAATTTGTATCATTTTCATTGTGATCTTGATGCAACCTGATGATGGTACCTGAGACCCATCTGCGCCACGATGACAGTTTTCAACCAGCAGGCATTCCCACTCAATGAATTGCGGGATATCCTCATTCCACATGAGATGTTATCGATCGTAAGGAGTTCAAACGTGGACAATACCCGGGGGGTGCCGAACCGATCTTAAAGCGCAATCTGAAGCGTTTATAATAGCCGATCTCAACAAGCTCTGGATGTGGTCTGAAATACGTCAACGCAGTGGTATACATACGTATGGCAGCGATTGGAACAAGTCGGCATCGGTGGTAATTATCATTTTCCTCACAGAGACCAGAAATTCCAAGAAAAACGCTTTAACCGTTTTTTTTCGTTGCCATGGAACATGGGAACGAATACGATCATATTACATACGTTCCTGTTACTTCTACGACCGCCGTTTCTAGTTGTATATGTTTCTCTTTCGTCCATTCCGTCAGTAATTGTGAACATGCGCATTTTTAGTGCATAATCACGTTGGAGTCTCCAATATGTTGGCGACTCAGATCCGAGATACTCCTACTTCTAAACATCAGAAGATATACCGTTATGTATTTTCCCGTGCCCTTTTGCGCAGTCTATTAAACTAGAAAGGCATGGGTATGTTGGCCTCGCACGTCAAGGCTAAGGTAGCTGAATTCTTAGTCCATAGTCATCGACTGCCGTTTGCACTCTATAGCCCAGGAATATTGCAATACAAATACATTTTATTCGCACAAACTTGTATTATGAAGGGCTTTTTGAAGGCATGCTGAAAATGTCATGGTTTCGGCGAAAATGGTCTTAAGGATATGACAATTTTTTGACACATTGCAACATTGCCTAATTACCATTAAAATACTTGGCAAGAGGGAGTTAGCTTAAAACTTATTGGAATTAACAAAGTGTTAACATTCAGTGCAATACCTCTAAGCGAAGACCCAGCCCATCGCATACGCGCAGGCGATGTCTAACCCACTGCTGGTTTCCCAGAGACGAAAGCATCACCTGCATACGCCATACAGCGGACTTTACAATGCATAAGCTTAGTCGTCGTAGAGCTTCCGAGGAAAGTGTAACGCTGGATGGTTCGAAGCGATGAGTTCACAAGGGAATCGCCGTCGTCGGTGGCTCTCTCGAGGGATTGCGGCGCGACTGTCCGGGTGAGTTCATCTCATGATAAGCCCACATTCTCAGCATTCGAAACTAGCCCAATTTTCCTTCCCGCGAGGAATTTTCTCATTCCAAGAGGATAGCTCTTTTTTTTCGAGAATCAGGAATAATGAGTTACACTACTCTTCTAACCTCATGTGACAAAACCACTTTGCACCGCAAGTACTTAGCCGTGTTAAACGTCAATGTATTATGTCTTGCACTCGACGAGGTGGAAAAGTACATATTATTCCGGCAGGTTGATTCCTAAGTTAGTCATCTGCACGTGGATGACGTCATTTCACAATATTTAATGTCACACATATTCAAAACTTTCCTGATGAAATTTTAGTATGAGGATACATTCCAGGAACGGTTGCATTTTATTTTCATCCCTTGTCCTAGCCTAAAGAGGATAATTTTTTTCTAACAGGATACACAAGGGAGGATTTCAGGCCCGCCCCAAAGGTGATATGACACTGACAATGGAAGACTTTTTCCGTGGGAAACACGAAGACAAGTATGATCTCGTCGAGATGGTGGTCTCACTCAAACAAGACATCATGCAATTGAGGGGACAAGTAGAGCACTTGCAACAATCCATGGGGACTGCAAGCAGGTCTGAATGCAATTGTTCGCCTCATGCACGAAACGCTTGTGCCTTCAGATTCTGTAAAACATCAATTCGTATGAACCCATTTGCAGCATTGCTCCAGCTGGCATGGAGAAAGTGGATCCTGGAGTTAACAGGAATGTCTCGAAGCCACGAAATGAACCCGACACGTTTTCTGGACAAGGTGCGGTGCAGCCGCGTGCATGTATTTCCCAAGACCGATAATTTTGGAAGGTTTCATTCTCGTGAAGACGAAACCAGACGACCACTGCTATAATATAGACGTCACCTTTCTGGATTTACGTTAATTTCTCCGTTAAAAAGATATTTATTCAGCAGACCACTGCCACTAAAACCACTGACATTTGTGAAGAAAGCATGTTTGAAAAAAAAGAAACTCGAATTCTCACCCGTCATATTTAAAACCATGAATTTTACGTTTACTAACTATCCCTTTTCTATTCACTTGATGAAAATCAAGCCCGCCCAGAGGCATGGGGCAAACCTAAACCGGTGGCTTCATTTGGGCCCCCTTGATATGCGAAACCTGGGGCAGATTGTCCTCCCCCCCTCTCCGGGGGGCCCTGATGACAATATCCTGCAATATGTAGGTATTTTTCGGAGAAATGAGGTAAATATCATTCAGAGGATTTCCATAGCAGTTCTCCGGCGTGAATTTGAACTGTTTATTATGGGATTCATGGACTTAGGGATGAAAAGGAAAAAATGTGAGACGGTGAAACCTACATATTTGAAGCCTCGTTACGTACAATCAACTTAAAACTAGAATTTCACATTTGTCCATATGGTGATCCTTTTCGTATGGATGGGTTAACCTTAAACCTTTCACTGCAGAGTAATTAGCGGCCAGATGTTCTGCGGCTTTTGGCGCGCTTCAAATTCATTTCACTGCTGTTCAAGAGTAAGGCATTTACGTCGTGTGCCAATGGATATAAAAAAAAAATAGAAGTTCTTATTTGATGAAATTTCTTCACATCCGCTTCTGCAGCAAAAACACACCTTTTCATATTTTGTAGGGCAGGGAGGGCATTTCATAATTTAAATTTCAATAATTTAAAGTGACTGAGAATACTACGAACTGAAACGCAATTAGAGGATCGTTGCCTTCATCCGATCCTTTCACCTCAAATTCCTGTACTTTCTCCTCTTCCGCGTATAAATAGCATGTTTTTGTAATCTACCTGGACTCTGTCTCTGACGCCTGCGTACAGTTTTAACGATGAGGAGAAAATAACCCGTCTCAATTATCTTTAGGTCCAACGGTTTCTTCAATGAGCCACCATGGGATGGCACGAAGATCATGGATCGGGAATCTACTATGGATTTTGATATTATGTACCGCGACCACACTTTCAATTATACAGGTTTTCAGCTCCCAACTATCATCATCCGTGAAAATGTTTTCATGTCCATTTCAAATCGAATAATGCAAATTGGGGTACTCCACAGGCAAAGGACTTGATCGAGTACTTCAAGAGCAATCCAACGGCCCAGAGCATTCGGGTGGAACTCCGAAACAGCGCGGAGTTTCCCGAAATTACGGTGTGCCCCGTAAATGCGGTGAATTCCACTGCGGACCAGATCCGTATTCGAAGGTTGAATTTATCTTCTGATTCCGCATTCAAATGGGACAAAGAGGATGTCTTCGACGTGAGCTACTGGGAAGATCTGGATTTCCTTACCTTAAAGAACTTGTATAACATCTTGGACTACTGTTATGTCGGTTCTGAACGCTGCATGCCAGACTTTACGATTGGTGACTGGACATGGATCAACGATAGTCTGATCCTCGAAACAAGCGGTACGTCTTGTATATATATCATTTTTCATTTTTCTTTAGTATAACGTTTAAAAGTGTATTTCACATCATTTCTAGGGGGATACTGGAGAGAGTCGGCCAAAAATCCATAACTAAGAATAAAAAACGGAGACTTTCAAACGAAGAGTAAAGCGCGATTGCGTTGTGAGGTCTACTTGGATGGGAGGAAGAGTGGACACTACCTTAAAGTTAAGTTAAAGCTACCCTTCGGAAACGAAAGCTTTGGCGTTTACGAGATTCACGTAGATTCGCAGGAAGTTCCGTTCACAGAAGCGTGGAATATCCGGCCTTCGGGACAGACATTTTTCGTGACGAAAGAAAACAGCTACATAGTGAATCTCTCCGTGAAAGACTACAGTCTCCTGCCCTCAGGAAGTAAGTGCAATGCGGACAGGAACTACGACTACCAGAAGGTAATTTGAGTCCAACCCTACAGTTCCCTTCCCTTTCCAGAAAGGTGACCCATTAAAGCGTATGTATGCATTTCAAACCCACAGTGCCTGGACGCTGCCCTAGGGGATAAGTTATCGAAGGACGCCCCGTGTTTCATACCTTCCCTGTTGCCAAGAAAACGCGAACAGCCTGACATGGAGCGCCAATGCAACACCTCTGATGAGGTAAATAATTTGGGCGCCTACTATGCTGACTTACAACGTTCTTTCCAACCTGAATGTCAGATGAAATGCAAGAGGATGGCGTACAATGTGATTCCAATGCAAGTGTCCACCTCCACTCAGGGTTCGATACCAGGCTTGGTCCAGTTCATCATCCCATCTGCCGAAGTGAGTAGCTGAAGTTGGCAATTTCAAAAGTTTTTCATTTCTATTCCGGCAGAGCGAAGTGCATGAAGTAGATGGTAGTTAGCGATATCAAGAGGCGATTCTGCCCATATCAATATCACGTGTCGAGGTAGAGGGTTCCTTAATTTTAGGGTAGGCCTAACCCTCTTGTAGCTAAATACTTTTGCATTTTTGTGATTTTGATTTGTTGTCTCCTAGTTGCCTAATGCTTCGTTCCAATCTTCAATATTGCCTCCCACCTTTCTGCTTGTGCCTAAAGCATCCAATTTCTTCTTTAAAATTGTCACAGAAGGGGCAGCCACTACTTCGTCATATAACACATTTTATGCGTTCATGGTTTGCATAACTTGAGTTGATTTTCTCTCGTTCTCTTGCTGTCATCAAACTAGAAAAACCTACCACTCGACATTATCTATTCTTTTAATTACCTTATGAGCCTGGATGAGATCGCCCCTCCTTAACCTTCCTTCGAGCGAGAGAGTACAGTCCCAATCGCTTTTCGTACGGAAGTCCCCTAACCTTCTTTATCATTATTGAAGTCCTCCTCTGTATCCCCTCGAGCGCCACCAATCCCCCTTAT